TGATAGGGACTACTTCAGTCACATTTCCTGTAATTTCATGTTTCTAGGCCAAGTAATCTGGTATTTTATTAAATAAACACCTTTGTCCCAATGACCCTATGCCTACTTTAAAGGCGTTGTTGCACCTATTGTTCTACTGATTTGTAGGTCTGGTTTTTTTTTTTTTGGAGGGGGAGGGTTGTGTTTTTTTTTTTTTTTTTTTTTTTTACCACAGTGTAAATCAAAACCAAATACAGAGAGACATTCTGTTCTTTTATCATTAGTACAGAAAGTCCATATGAAAAGCCAGATTTGGCATACTACAAGGGAAAAAAATGAAAAACTCTTACTGAAGAAAAGGATTTTCTAGTTTTGCTGGTGACATCATGAGAGGACAGATGTAGAAAAAAAAGGTGAAATATCTTTTCATCTGACATTAGAAATGTCTAATACTTACCTCAGGTAACAGTACAAGCTCTCCTACTTCACAAATACGAATGAAAGAATCTTCCCACCTGCCTTTGTATGTAATATGTGTTGGTTTCTTGATACTACACTACTCCAAACACTGAAAAGGAAAGGCTTTATTTCTGAGATATCATGAAAATAACATGTCCAGAAATCCATGAAAATGACCAATCCAATATTAAAACTATTCCCTTAAAGGTACAAAAGTTGGCACGATTGAATGGAGCCTTGTAATGCATTTATTTTATAATATTTATTAATGTTTACTTTACTTTATCCCACTTGCTTGATGTTGCCAAACTGCTCCAGTACCAGCATTAATATGGATGAGAAAAATAGATTATCATGTAAATGAACAACAAAAGGCATTTACTAGAAATAGAACTGGCATCCATATGTAAAAAGACCTTTGCCAGACGTTGTCAGTATTAATATCTTTGTCTATGTTTATATGTGGCCAGACCATGCAGCTATTCTTCATAACGGTAAATACTGACAATTTTTATATTACATTTGGTCCAGGAGCTTGATTTTATGATGAGTGTGGAAAATGCACTTCTAAAACTCCAGTTTTAGGCAAGAATTACCCATACCGTGTTTCATCAGCAGTACTATATATAGTTTGCTGTTAAAGCCTCCCTCTACAACTTCCACAGGGTTAATGCTTCTAGGCTTTAGTCAGTAAAGAGAAATGAAGCATAGACAAGTTGAAAGGAAGCATAAAATGAGCAGTTGAAGGATATATTCTGTTTCCGAGATACCGAATTACGTCATGCAATGGATAGTTTTATATAGCTGAGAAATGTTTCACATTTCTTGACATTATTTCTAGGCTATCCCACAGTATGAATTTCACATGGGGTTACCTCAGTTTATATTAGCTGATTGCTCTGTGTGTACTGTATGGTCTGCAGCGTTTGAAGTGCTCAGGCTACTCAGTGCCCAGAGCGCCTCTTGTTTCGAGCTTAGTAGGGGGAAGAAAGGAAAAGTCAGCAATTGCAAACCCGTGACACACAGCTCCCACTTCTCTCTGTGTTTGAGGGTATGCAAAGACCAGGTATATCCCCCGTTGTGGTTGCTGATAAGTTGACATCAGTGGCCCTGAGTGCATTTGGAAAAGATAGCAGAGGTGCAACTGCTTGAGTACTCAACCCTGGCATCAGAGCAGATGCTAAACATAGTTTCCATGTTTCCCACAGTGAAACCTCAATCTTGCTTGTGTGCAAGAGGAGAGAAAAGATAGTTAAGGAGGAAGTTGTGCTAATTCTAGTTTAGGCCGTGTTCTCTAGTTATGCTGACTCCTCAAAATTATGCAAAAGCTTTGTCGACTAGTTCAGCTTTTGTAATGTGCATGGAGGATGAGTAATACATGTCCTAGTGTCCTTCAGGATATCCCAGTGGAAGTCAATGAAGGCTCAGAGTAAAACATGAGAGAAGACACTATTATACAGTGCACAGTATGCAGTAATAACAGGATGGAGTACAGAGAAGGATGGAGTACAGAGAAGTGTTTGTTACTAAATTAGAATAAAGACCTAGCTAGCAAGTTGCATATTTTTTCTTCATTTTTAACTGGACACTCTTTTGGGAAATGTGAAGTCATGGTCTGTCTCCTGGGTTCGTTTATGTTTGTCTTGTTTTTGCTGTAGTCTTTTATATATTTGTATAACTGCTATTAATTGGCATCATATTTCTGGCTTTCACTGTCCTCCTCAGGAAGTTAAAATGTGTTTACTTTCTCTCTTTGTGTAACATAATATGCATCCATAGCATAGGCAATGTTTACTGTTATTACTAAAGCAATCCACAGCTTTTGGGGTTTAAATTTATGCTTACTCTAAGTATTCCTAAATTAACTTATATTAGGTGGAGCCAGGCTCAATAGGGAGCAGAGTAAGATTGCTTTTCTTCACTTATGTGTGGGAGGGTAAGAAATATAGCCATTATGGATGCCTGTTTTGAAAATATTTATTACTCAGTGGTTTACAGAGTAAAATCTTATTTCGTCTTTTATATCTGCAATCTCATATCTGCTTCCTCTTGTACTGTTCACTCTTTCATGTATTTGCTCTAGCTAGCACTTCCAAAATTAACATTACACAACATGTTATTCTGCACATATATTAACTCTCCAGTGGGGCAGAAGAGAGGGAACTGTGCAGCAAGTTGTCTCAGCAACTGGATATGCTGTGATTCCTTGGCCAGGCTGTAAATTTATATCTTCTTGAAAAAGTTGCATTGAGTATAGTGGTAGATTTCTTTCCCCCTCTAGCATAACTTTTTTTTCCCCCTTTAGTTTTTGTGATATGATCCCTGCTACTTTACCATCTAAGCACATGAAGTCCGCCCTGCTGTCTCTCAGTACAGTTTGGCCATGCTTTGGGGTGCAAGGGATGAGTAGTCATCTCCCCATGCATCTCCTGGAAAAGCTTTTCCAGAAGAAATGGCTCATCAGGAAAGTGTCAGACCACCAGCAAGATCATTTTTTAGCACGATTGGGCAGGCCAGAGACCCACAGGAGTCCGAGAGACGTGACAAAAGGGACGTATTATTCTAGCATTTCTCCCTTCTCCTGGAAACGCTTTCGCACCCCCAGAGGCTCAGGATGTAGCAATTAGGAAG